GCCGCAGGGGACGTTTCGCGCGGAGGAACGTCTGCGACTCAGCAACAGAAATTCCATACTGATGACGTAAAATCTGTCCGGAATCCGGTCAGAAGCGCTGATTGGTCGACGGAGTAGTTACATTGTTTTAGCTATTGTTTACGAATGACNAATGGTTAAAATCAGAAAATAAAGCGACTTGATCAAAGAAGGCTACTGAAATTGGATCCCTAGCTCTGTCTTAGTCAGATAGCACTCTACTAGCCTGTTCCTAGCTCCGAGATAGTCGGGCCCGCTGAATTAAGAAAGCGCGAAAACGAAAATAAAACGGAAGGATCTGAGAGCCTGGAACAGGCTAGCACTCTACGCACTGAAACATGATATAACATTATTGGCTGTGTAATACTCGAAAACCGAAAATGCTTCAGAGAAAATCAAGTTTGTATGTGCTTCTCGGAATCTATTCGTTTCCAGTGGATCCGATGGACTCCATCGGAACGACTTTCTACCCCCTCATCCTCTCATCATCATATGAGTGAAATTTTTGTATGTCTCTCACGAAAAGAAAATGTATTTTCCCATCGGAATCTATTCGTTTCCAATGGATCACCTACACTTGGTAGGACTTAACACCATTAGACTTCCGGTTTTCCGATGGAAAGCAAAGGGATACGACTGGATTCTAGCCTGCGAAAACATCCGTTTCTCCTCGCTCTTCGCCGCAGGGGACGTTTCGCGCGGAGGAACGTCTGCGACTCAGCAACAGAAATTCCATACTGATGACGTAAAATCTGTCCGGAATCCGGTCAGAAGCGCTGATTGGTCGACGGAGTAGTTACATTGTTTTAGCTATTGTTTACGAATGACAGACAAAAGACAAAAGGCCACAAAGTTCAATTCTAGTCGACAGTATTTGACAACCCTCAAAACATAGTCCGAGATAGCTAACCAATCAGATTGCTTGAATTACCAAGAACACTGAGTGTGTATATACTAATTCGCCTTCGGCGAAAAATTGTTAAATGTTAAGAGAGTTATTGCACCATGTAATCAGTACAAATTACTGTCAGTTATTGAGGCCTTAGTATTCTAACGATCAGTATCGGTCGCACGAGGATGGGGTGGTGGTACCCTACCGAAAGCAGAATGGGTTCGTTCCATGCGATAAGTGGAGTTAGAAGAGCACGACAGTGAAGACATCTGTCTCGCACCTCCTGCTTCGCATATCGAAAAAATTCAAAGAAAAGACTTAATGGATGGATTTTGACGACTGGGTAAAGGGTTTGAGAGAAGATCACCATGTCAATAGGCCATTTCCGAGATTCGAAAACTCTCACTTTCAAAACGCGGCTAGGTGCAAAACCTTCCTTGTGAAAATGAGGTTTATTTGCCTGAGAATAAAAAATCATTTCGTCAACTAGCTACTTGGAAGTTTATTTGCTCACGAAAAACTTAGCCACTGGGTAAATTAAATACGTTTTAATTACTTTTATGACAGCAAACATGTATCGGATATGTGTTGCACTTAAGTTGCCGGAACATGAATTTAAAAGTCTGTTGAACTTTGTACGAGAGAGAATATCAAAGCATATTTACGGAATTGATTTACTCTGTACAGCTTTAAAAAAATCAGCTCTTGTTCAATCTTCTAAAAACACAATTACGCCGCATACTTTCAATTTAAAGTAAATATCTAAATACCAATTTGTATAAATTTTATGCCTCACTTTGAAGTAGGTGAAACATATTAATTCACTACGTTGTGCCGTTCGCGATAGCCGAATGTCTTGAACCAGCAGCCACACTTATGAACCAACCCTTAAACAGTTGCATCACTGTACTTACCGTTTGAATCGTGAAGATATTTAAATGTTGTGCTTCTAAACACCTTTAGCCGTAATAAAAGACGACAAAATTGTGAAGAACCAAAATGGCGGGTCTCAAAGTGCCCTTGTTTGACCTTTAGCGCAACATTGTCATGTTTAGATGGCAAAATCTCATAATTGGTTCCTAAGCATCAACTCATAGTACCTCCAAAATTACTGGCCCCTGGAACACACATCCAAACGGACAAAGCCACAAAGATACATACGCTCACACCACTGACAAAAAAAATACCCTAAATGTAATTTAGAAGATATATTTCAACTGGTTTACGAACAATTAGCAGGGTTAATTACATTTAGAAGTTATATTTCAACTGGTTTACGAACAATTAGCAGGGTTAATCTAGGATATTACTTGAGCGAAGCAGTTCTCAACACAAACAATTCGAATACAAGCTGCGAGGAGCGACGTGAGGCGATTGTATTCACTGGATATGTTATTTAGAAGTTATATTTCAACTGGCTTACGAAAGCGTTTGATACGCGCGACATTTTTAAGCGTAAAACGCTGTGGCTATATGGCCGGTAACCGGTCAAGGTGTTAAAAACAATAAATGACCGGCAGTCCCATATTCCGTATAAATTTCAGAAAATCGAAAGATTCTAGCTAATCTAAACTAGCATACCGTATTTTTTCGAATAAGCGCCCAACCTCCAATTAGCGCCCACCTCGAATAAGCGCCCACCTGGAATAAGCGCCCATCCTAAAGGCAGAAAAAGTTAATAAGCGCCCAGCCTTGAATAAGCGCCCACCCCTCCTCCTCCCAATCAAACTCAAATAAGCGCTCACCCCCACCTCACCCACTTGAGTGATTAAATTTGTAATAAGAGACTTTCCCGAGGACGGAGTTTTCTTCAGAGTATTTTACAGAAACCTTGCTTTGTTACTTCTGCGAGTTTTGTTATTAGCATTTATTGTTATGTTGCAAAATAAACATACTTCACTTGCTGAAAATGGTGAAAATTTAATAAGCGCCCAGCCTCGAATAAGCGCCCACCTCGAATAAGCGCCCACTCTCAANACTAGCATACCGTATTTTTTCGAATAAGCGCCCAACCTCCAATTAGCGCCCACCTCGAATAAGCGCCCACCTGGAATAAGCGCCCATCCTAAAGGCAGAAAAAGTTAATAAGCGCCCAGCCTTGAATAAGCGCCCACCCCTCCTCCTCCCAATCAAACTCAAATAAGCGCTCACCCCCACCTCACCCACTTGAGTGATTAAATTTGTAATAAGAGACTTTCCCGAGGACGGAGTTTTCTTCAGAGTATTTTACAGAAACCTTGCTTTGTTACTTCTGCGAGTTTTGTTATTAGCATTTATTGTTATGTTGCAAAATAAACATACTTCACTTGCTGAAAATGGTGAAAATTTAATAAGCGCCCAGCCTCGAATAAGCGCCCACCTCGAATAAGCGCCCACTCTCAAGGTCCAAAAATTTAATAAGCGCCCAGGGCGGTTAATCGAATAAATACGGTATGTCAATTAAGACAGGTCAAGCGATCCTGAAAATGCTTTATAGATCTCAAGTCTAGTGTTTGGTTTACGCTGGGCTCAAAAGACGAAACCGTGTTTTGTGACACTTACAACTTTTTTCAGCTCAACTGCCGGTCAAGGTTTTCAAAACACTAAATGGCCGGCAGTCCCATATTCTCAGTAAATTTCACAAATCGAAAAAATTCAGCCGTTCTGAACTATCTTATCTCAAAAGACAATTAAATACAAAAGTTGACACAAAACTCTGTCAGCTTCAGCTCTCAAAGTAAACAACTTTCAAGATAATGCACAAATTTTCCGCATGAACTCACCTGTCAATTTTTGACCAATCAGAGTATAAGAATTGGACGTAGAGCGTGACCAACGCGTGACCATGGTAAGAAAAGGTCTCCCCTGTCTGTATTTTTTAAAAAACTGGCTGAATTTTTGCGTCCGAGGTCAGTTTGAAATCAAAATATTAACAGTGGGTGCCATAGTGACATAAACACAACATATTTCATATGAATCATTGGAAAAAATAAACTTGAGCCTGCGATAATTTGAAACTGGTAATTTGTCAGCGGATAACTTCAAAAAAGTACTCAACCTCGATGGGTCGACACTTGAGCCCGCGGTACGGTAAGGTGATACTGAGCAGCGCATACCCTGTTTTGACAGCTGCCAATTGATCACATCATTGATCTGCAATTAGTTTTCTCTTGGGCTCCCAAACTGGCTAGAAAGTGTGAGAGTAAACATGAGTTTCCCTGTGGTGCGGACGGATGGTCGGGCGTACGGTCACGTGGTTACCAAAGTTTCTCGTATGGGTAGATTACCACATTTCCTTACCTATGGAGCTCCCTAATTAGCAAAGAGACAGGATATCCCTTTCGATGGAATGGCCCAATAAATTGACACTTCAACCAACTAAAGGTGTTTGGCAAAATTTAGAAGGATCTGTTGGACACCTTTTACACTTGTAGAATCGCATGGAATGCAGCGCTTAGAGAACCTTGGTATGTTCCAGGTTCTCAGACAGAAGAGAGTCATTAGGGACTTCACGAAATAAAGGATCGAAAAAGAGAGAAACTAAGACGAGGATGATTTGAGAAAAACCCTAATCCTCGTTTCCTTTAGCTCTCTCCAGCCCACACAATAGTTTCTCTATTCGCTGCTCTCCCTGAGCTATCTTGGAACTTGAAACAGGCTAGTCTGGCATTTGAGGCGATGTATTCTTTTAGCTCTTTTAGCCATTTCGGCTTATTGGGCTTAACCCTTTAAACCCTAAGATCAAAATTTCAATTTTCATTTGTTGCCCTTATTCATTTCCTTCAGAAGTAGGGGGAGAAGTTGATAAAATATCACGCAAATTCATCTTGTCTGATCATGTCCGTAATTCTCATGACCACTCTGTTTTACAAAGCATTGATATTACAAGGAGAAATTTGATGCTGATCACTCTTAAGGCTTAAAGGGTTAATAAACACTCACAAGCGCTACACAGTTTTACTCAGTTTAAAAGGTACAACTAACCTAGTAACGACCATGGCAACATCACTAGCCTCCCTGCCTTGTTGCCAGAAATCTCTCTCTCTCTCTCTCGATGTAAATTTGCGAGCAAAGGAAGGTGGCCTCGCCTCTTTCTTCTTCTCCTGATCCCTTACGCTTCGTCACCAGTCTCTCGCGTTTCGCGCTCGCCATTGCTCTCATCCTGCGCCACAGACGAAACTAAACTCTGGTTAAGTCCGTCTGCGAAACAGCACCGAAATACTTGTTCTGAGTCTCCACCTGTGTACCAGGATTTGAGTACGAGCCATGACTGGTCCGTTAAAAAAGCCATTGTTGTTTTGCCAATCAGCATGAAAGGAAATTCAAAATGCCCTTCCGATAATTCGTTGACTCCGTTGGGGGCACAGAACAAGGATCTCGGCGCTGCTTCGCAGACATTACTAACCGAGTTTGCGATGCAGGCTACTTTGTTCTCGACCAAAGTGCAAAAAACACAGCGCCTGAGGAGGAGGCGCGCCTTGCGAAGGAACGCTTGGTACTAACCTACAATGAGAGGTCTGAACATTATTGAAGGATGAGATGACGGAGAGGAAATAAAGTGATTTGAGACGCATAACCAGACGAGCTACAAATGTTTGCCCAAGTTCGTCCATACGGATAGTACATCCTTAGTATAAAAACGGCCAATGTTGTAACGCGGATTTTTCCCGGTTCGTAGGCTAGGTTTTTCTTCAAATTGCAAGATGTTACAGTGAATCAATCTTAATATACTATGAATCTTGAATATATGTTAATTATATTTAGTATACACTAAAGCAGTGGATAATGGTTTTCGCGTGCTCTAATTGGCTGCTTAAACTCGGGATATCCAGTGGTATTCACTTTACAGCGGCGCCAAAATCGCGTAGGTTACGAGCAAAATAGCATTCCGGTTTGCTGCTGTAACAAACGAGGAAACTTCACAAATAATCGAAAAAGCTTTTCCCGAAATACACGAGGAAGGCAACGAAATTTGGTTTGGACGTTTTCACAGGCAAAAGCTTCGTCTAACCTAAATTTATCGTCGGTTCACTGCACGGTAAAAACCCACCACTAGCCACCTCCACTACGGTGAATAATTGTCATTTATCTGTGCCTTACCGTGTCGATTAGTGTAAATGCTACTTTGCGGGCCAGCACTATCTTACATATCGTATGTAGGAAATAAGGATTTGTTGATCACCTTCCGCGGAGTCTTGCGCAACTTGTCCGCTGACACCAGTTCCTTCAAGCGCGCGCATCATCTCATCCTCTTCTTCGTTTCTCTGTTTCTGTTTCATGATCTTCACCGCGGTCTCAGCCGTCAACAGCGCGTAGTGCAGAATGTCGAAGGTCATGCGCTCTGTCTCTGCTCTGCGTATGCTGTTTTCTTTAGTGTAGTTAGCCGCCCAAAAAGTGTGACTCGGTAAACTGTCAGAGGCCGCTGAAGCTGCGTAAAGTGCGCTTTCACATTCCTCTTCTGTTCTCAGTGTGTCACGGTGCGTAACAACAGTGATGGGTGCGATTCCTTTTGTGGGAGCAAAAATAAATGAATAGATTGGTAAAGAATTGTGAAAGGAGACAAAACAGAACTAAAAACGGATTAAACAATAAAACTGGTCTCTCTAAACAGACACTGAAATGATTTTTGCGGGTCTATCAGTCTCTCTAGTCTAATAGTTTTTTTTTTTTAAATTGGAAGCGTGTCTTTTTTAAGGTTTAGAGCCCGGTGCTTATCTCTTGGTCACACATTTTAGAAATAACTGTAACGATCTCAAGCGCAATATGAAACTGAATGTCATTCTCCCTACCATTCCTATGCCTCGCTTTAACAAAACGCCAACGGTTAATATCAAATAACATTTTGTAAGCTGAGGTCAGCAACAAGGCCGTTTTGAATGATAAACTGTTAACTCTTTCTGATAATTCTTTTCTAAATTGGGCGAAATTAATTGCATGAAAAAACGCTAACGTTAATGTAAATCTCTTTATGTCACGGTGACGTTGTGTTTTCGAGCCTCATAATAGGGACCTTAAGCAGCCAGAACGAGTTTGTGGACGATAACGAGAGAAGACGAGTGAGGTCTGGGTCGAGAAAGTCGTCCAAAGAGGGAAAAGCAAATGTTTAAGAAAGCTCCCGTCTCGGCTCGTCGCCGAGCTAGGTAGGCTGCACTAAATGGCTTTGTTTAAAGAAATACGCCAGTTGCTTCTTTTTAGCGTTGAGAACAACACGATTAACGAGGAAGAATTTTTCCTACTCTCCGAAGGGTTTAAATAGTGAACCGTTTATCAAATGAAAAGGCTTGAATCGAATCAAACAGAACAGAGCTGGTTTTGTTGTCCTATACATTTTACAGGAGTTAATTGCCGGAGGCAAGATTTCCGTACAGTCCCATTAATTTATCTACTACGGATATACGACTCTATTCATGTTGATCAAGTTTACCGGAAACAGTTTATACGAAATATAGTGAAAAACTTGCTTTCGAGATGCAGACATGTACATCTCGAAACATATAAACAAAAAAAATAATGTGGATGAGATTGCCGATGCTTCGAGACTAGTCTTCCTTGGGATTTTTAACCAGCCTCTTTCATGCAAGGGTCCCGAGTATCAACGCCTTTTCCTTTTCCAGTTAAATAGTGCTTCTGGAAACGGATTACAGTTCAGAAGCATTTAAGGAGAACATAAACATTTTACTTTTACTCACGGGTTCTTTCCCGCCGAAGCCATTGAAAACTGCGGCTCACGGTTTATCGAAATTCTCTCAAAATCTTTCCTCCAACGGCCCAACCTTCGACAAAAAGTACAAAAAAGGTTTCCTTTTTTCAAACATTGGTATTAAACAAGGTAAAATGGGCACAAAAACGTCAAAGATTGCTTTGAATGCTCACGTTCACCTGAGGACGGCAAATCAACAGATGTCATGTTCTGAACGCCATGTGGACGACATCACTGACATGCGCAGAAGCTTTCGGCTTCGTGAGAACGCTGCCTGACACTTCCAGTCGGCGTCCACTCGGCTCGTCGTCTAGGTTGCTTAAGGTCCCTAATGTGATAGGGTTGACTTGAGCCTAATTTTTCTTAAATCGAGAAGTACTACTGACTGTACAGTAACAGAACATTGAAGCTTAAGTTTCAAGTTACCCTGTGATGCAGAGGGAGTTAATCTACCAAAGAGTGCAATTTGATTGCTGTAGTACGTGATGTGCTCTACATGTCTGACAATATTTCCAAAAGCACCGAATACTTCAAGAAAAACGTCTCTCTTATCAAGGTGCTAAGCTACGGAATACTCTTCCAACAGTTACTATAATAAAAGTTAAACCATTTCTCAAGGTTTATTATGAAATCTTTGCGCAACCTCGATCTCCAGGGTACTTTTTTTAGTTTTGTATATCTGTAATTGAATATGTAATTTTTGTCATATTATGTATTTTGATTTTTTATTACATGCACGGCTTTATTGGAAACCAATTCTTTGTAACTCCGTGTTGAGAACTGAAAAGTCCCCTTCAGTCTGATTGTCGGTCTCTGTCTGCATAGGTCTTCTATATTGATTATCATTACTAGTAAACACTTAACCAGTTCTACGCAGAATATCTCGAACTGGTTTTAGGTAATCCTTCAAGGCACCCTCCCTCAGTCGCGGGTCAGTCGCCATAACCACAATGATGATACCATGCAGACGGTTGGCAAATGGTGGACGTGGGTGAAGGTCCATAGCATCTCCTTGGTCTTCTTTAGAACGGACCGCATTATCCCCAGGATGTATCTTTCCCTCCAATATGTTCTCAAAAACCACGGTTTCGTTAGCGTTGTAATTGAAGAAACCACGTATATCAACCAAGTGGAAGAATAACTCAGGGAGATAATCCCGTAGAATTATGGTTCCTACTTGACCTGTGGTGCTGTCAGGAGCTGTGCCTTTATCTGTCTGCCTCACGGCTCGTTCACACGTGTTGATAAAGGAGCTCTTGCCCGATCCAGTAGGTCCGAACACACCGATTCTGAGTTGTTTCACATCATCTATTGCCAGGCCTTTAAAACTATCCAGTTTGATCTTGTTCCCAAATTTGTAGTCAAACAGCGCAGCTCGACGGAGGCACAGTTCGATCTCCAAACGCAAGCGCCTTTCCTCTGCTTCTATCTTTCTCGCTTCTTCTTGTTGTATCTCTCGTTGCCCCTGTTGTTGATACTTCGCTCGCCTTCTCTCTTCTTCTCGTCTTTTTTCTTGCAGTATGCGCAGCCTTTCTTCAGCCTCCTTTTGTCTCCGTTCATTTTCCAGCCTTCTCTGTTCCAACTGCCTTGCTTCCTCTCTTCGAGCCTCCGTGTTGTCCTCGTAAATATACTGCGCTTCATAGCTGTAACTACCCTGAATTAAAATAGAAAAAGAAGAAAATGGTTTTTAATTTTTTAACCTGCATCAAGCAGTCTGACCACCTATTACAGGTTTGAATGGCTGTTTAAATAAGCAGGAAAAAAAAATAGTGGTGAATGATACTTTTCAAGTTGGAACCATTTTACAAAATAAAAACAAGGAGGTGTGCATTTTAAAGTATGACGATCGAGGAAGCCTCTATAACTCAAACGAAAAGTTTTTACTATTCTCTGTTTTACACTGCTTCTGACGCTCGCTACAATTAGAGCGTATCAGAGTAAATCATTTTACCATTTAGGTTGTGAGCGTGAGATTTTATTATTAAGTCAATGCCTCGTCAGCTTCTTGACTGAGTTATAATTCGTTGATTTTGAGTAGGACAATGCAATCCTAATTCCCCTGTCTGGTGTTCGCTGGAGTCCGGAAAAGTTTATCAATCATCACTCCCCGCCGCATGGATAACTTTAACCAAACGTAAAAAAAGTCCTTATCATCCTTTCTCAAAACCTTTTTAATACGACCGCACCACTTCTTCTTCTGCTGTCCCGCTTGCAAAAAAGGGATTTTTATACTGTAAATCTATAAAGCTAAGTCATGAAACTGATAACCTGTTCCAGATTCCGAGATAATCGGGTCCACTGAATTAAGAAAGCGTAAACACGAAAATAAAACGCGTGCCTTTTTCTTTCCCGTCTTCCCCACTATCTGAGAGCCTGGAACAGGCTATGAAACTGAAATTAAGCAACCCCGGAAGTGACCGCGAACGACCGGAAGTATTTGCGCGGTCTCTTTTGATAACCCCACAACTGCAAGGTACGCCGGAAACTTTCATTACCCTTTAAGAAAAACAACGTAGTGAACAGTCATCCCTTGACCCTAATCCTCTTAATTTCACGTTCAAAAATGAAAGTAAAGTCCGGAATTGGATTACGGTTATTGGCATGACCAGTTCACCTTCTTTGATTCTCAATATTTGACTCATTTTTTTAGGTGTTCAAAGTTATTAAAAGATAACTGCAGGACTCCAGCCCCTCCCCTGCTACTTTCATTCGAAAGTGAAAGTGAAAGCCGGAAGCGAGCCGATGAATGATAATTTCCCTGCCCTCGAGTACTAGCGAATCGAGATACTCTGCAAAGAAAAACTACTCCAATTCATCAACTGCGTATCTTTCTATTTAAATTCTTACATTGAGCAAAAACCTGTGAAAATGAAAGAAAAGAGAAAACAGCAACGAACTGAGCTCGTGCGCTTGTAAGGCCTACTTTCTTGGAAAATATGGAACACTTGGTGTCTGATGGAACTTCAAATGGCCCAAAAGTATCACGGCAATTTCAATTTACTCACGGCAATCTCAATTTACTTACGGCTATTTCAATTTACTTACGGCACTTTCAATTTTACTCACGGCAATTTCAATTTGTTCACGGCAATTTCAATTTTATTCTCACGGTAATTTCAATGACTATCAGGAAATTCTGCACAATGATGACAATAACAATAACTATAAGCCTTAGTACACACAAGAGGAAGCTGAAACAGTACAAGTTACACCGAAATAAGGTGGACTATCCCCAAATTTTAAGAACCATCGAGAATAATCAGAGATGGCCCTGGCATGCTCCCCACCAGAAGGGAATAAGAGTACCCAGAAGCATTAAGTGGAAGAAATTGTTCGTGAACTAGACCTCGATGGCGTTGAAGCGAGAAAACCACAAAACTAACACACAGGCGGGAGTATACCTGCCCAGGCCCAAATAAGGTTTGGCATGCAGACGGTTATAATTATAAGAGAAAGCCGTTCGGATTTCTCATACATGGTTGTACAGTAGTTGGGTATGAACAGGAAAGTACTTTGGCGGTATGTCACGCGTTCTAATAACGTTAACCTACCTGACAACATAGCTGCGTCTTATCTGGATGCTGTTCGAGAGCACGGAGGATGCCCCCTTGAATTATATACCGACTTGGACACAGAATATGGAGTTATGGTTGGTACTCTTTTTTTTAATAGCCGTCAGTAAAATTGAAACTGCTGTGAGTAAATTGAAATTGCCGTGAACAAATTGAAATTGCCGTAAGTTAATTGACTGTTGCCGTAAGTAAATTGAAATTGCTGTGAGTAAATTAAAATTGCCCGTGACACTTATGGGCCACCGTAGAATTTATCCAAGATTAAATCCAATCCATTATGAAACCAGTGAGATGAGTATGGAAAGAACTTGCTTACTTTCGACTGCGTTTTTACATTGACTCCGCGACGAGTCCTTGCGGCCTATTCCGTTTCAACTGAGTCGAAATGGTTTTGCGATGGCATGATTAAAAATGAAAACTAGGAGCCGTATTAGTAGCCAGAAATAAATACCGACTGTAACGGCGACTCGTACCTAGAGACGTTCATGAAGCTGAAAAGAAACCATTCAAAGGGCTAAACATTACTGAAAAATTCCTCCTGTGAGTGACAAACTGAAATGAGTCAGCGGAGAGGTAACATCTAATTTAACAGAAGACACCGGTGAAATTGTCTTAGGTTAGCCAGGTATTTGGGAAGCGTCTGAGGTTACGAACTTATACTGTTTAACCATACTTGAAAAGTAAGTTTTGGTGGACTCACCCCCATTTCAAGATTCTCTCTTCGCAGCGACTTGTGAAGACTGTGAACTGATGGCGAAGTAGACCACAAATGGGGAATAGGATTTTTGCATTAGTGGATCACGCGATCAACCTTCGGTAAACACGATAGCAGTTTGCCATTGGATAACTTTGCGTTTTCTCGGAAAGAGACCAAGTGTCATTACAGTCCGGTTAGTTCATTCTCGTCCCCAGAGCCCGTCGTTTCTTGGTCAAGTGCTTTTGAAACGAGGCCATTCTCGTCCCCATAGCCGCTCGGCTTAATTTGTAACCCTGAGCTATCACCAAAGAGTGTCTCCTTTGGGACGTTTTGAAATAATGTAGGGCCACTGAACACACTGTTGGTGTGCAGAACTGAGACAATTAATCGGCAGAATGAGATGAGCGCCTGAGTTATGTGAGTTAACGTTTGCGAAAACAAATTTTTGGAAAGTAATAGAGATCAAAGTAATACGGGAATGAAGTCACTCAAAAACGGTTACCCATGTCCTACAAATGCGATCTTATTTCAAAACTTTTTTTAAAACGAAGCAAGTCTTGGGTTGTGTGACGTGTTGTGTTACTATAATGGACAGTAAAGTAAAGTATATTTGTTTTCATCGGCCTTCACTTGTGTTTTTCCTAGGTTTTATTCCTTTTGAGGTGTCGAAGTTTTCATTTGCTCCAAGAGCTTTTGTGTACAACATCAGCTGATCATGACAACGTGAGTCAAGACAATCGAAGGTTTATGTCAAAACAAATTAACGCGAGGAATTAATCAATTTACCGACCCAAACAGGGTAAAAAACACGTGGAGGGGTATTGATCACGTCTCATGGAAAAGAAAATGGCGGTTTCACATTTCACGAGAAAAAAAAAGGTTTTTGTACGATCAGTTTTTCTTACTTTGGTTAACAACTACCGCCAAAGAAGGTCAAAAAACTGCCTTGTTCGATGCCCTCACCATTCTCCCGCTTCTTGATCTTGGTGCGTGAATAGGAAACCAATTTCTTTGTTTAGAAGTTGAGGCTCGGCATCGTCTTCTTCTAATACAGAATCATTGTCATCAGAGGAGTTGTCATCGTATTCAGAGAACTAGTCTGCTTCAATCAAACAATTGAAGTTATAAATTTCTCTCGAAAAATTAAAAATAACATGAAAAAAAATCACAGTTCACTGTGAATTAAACACCCGATTCTCGTATCTCAGATACAAGTTATTATCAAAATTCACGGCTCACGGCGATCACCAAAATCACGTTTCACGAGGAATAGAAAGGTGATTACACAATTGACGGGGAATAAAACAAGCAATTCACCGTCGGGTTCACGGTTTTTGAGAAAGTTTATTAAACTTCCATGGACTAGGGTTTCAAAACTGAGTGAATCAAATTCCAGTTCTCTTCTTTCTGTATAACAACCCCAACTAAAACTTGATTCACTCAGTTTTCTAACCCTAATCATTAAACTTCCGGGTCATTAGGTGTTTTTGGCAATCATTCAGTGTTTAAAAGGGGGAACTTTATCTGTTAGAGGTTTTATCCTCACTTAAAGATTAAAGTTATCATCTCCTTTATAAATGCCATAATCATGCAGCATCTCAAAGGGAGAGTTTACAATAATTATTTTGCTATCAAACTCAGAAAAACTTGTGAACACCGTAAAAATTTCAGGAATGTTGATATTGTAGTGACCTATAAGCATAAAGTTCAGGACACAAAAGCAGACCTCAAAACCACAAACTAATTACTGTTGCTGTTTGTGATTTTGTTTTCTCATCCCTTGTTGGCTTTTTCTTTGCAACACGATTAATTCCTTAATATTTGTGTTGTTCATAGTTTTGTAACTTTAACAGATACATAGGTGAGCTATTCGCACCAGTTGCTTGCAACGAGAGTATAAATGAGAGCTCTGCATTTCATTTCGGCCCAGTTCACGTAAGAATCCTTTGACTGCTGCCAGCCGTGAATTGTTGTCTCTCCCTTTCACTTTCTCTTCACTGTCCTTTTCCACTTCCAACTCACTCGACTGTGGTCCCATTTCTCCGTCTCTTACTCAGTGGGCGTGAAAGGGACTGTCCTGAATATAGTATGCTGTAGTCACGTCGGTTGTATGTACTTCATTTGGTTACGGGTAATTAAAATAAATTACTTTTCCCACGATACCAGTCTGGTAGGTAGTGATGGTAATCATGCAAATGCATTAAGAGAGAAATCCGTATAAGTACCACTTATGAGCCCCGGGGGATCTTTGTAAGGTGTTTTAAGGAGTTTTTAAGAAAAGGAGGGGGCTTATAACTGAAATAGAAAAAGCGCTTCAAAACAAAACACTTTTTGCATTTACTGTTGTTTAATCAAGCTTCAAGATGTAATAGTGGAAGCTTAGGGCAGGACTTATAACCATTATTAGTTTTCTATAATGTGCCCTTCTCCATTCTAACTTTCTTTTTTTCATTATGTACACGTAGTTTAATCAACATTGTACTAATTGATATTGCACAACTAATGTATTATCTATAGGATGGAGTAAAAATAAAATACAAATACAATACTTATAACCAGGGAGAGCCATTTTTTGTTGTTTACAGGTTGATGGGCCTGCAACTGGGGGACTTATAAGTTGTGGGGGAGGCTTAAAAGCAGCAGTTCATGGTAACCTGTTCCAGACATGCAGGTTTTGGGGAAGGCACAAAGAGAACAAAATGAGTAAAAAAAAATCTCACTATCTCAATGCCTAGAACAGGTTGTCATAAGCTATACAGCGGTACTTTCTTATCTGAAATAGTGAAATCTAGAGTGATGGAAGACCACCTCACGAGGTACACTTTGGGTAGCACACAGGGAAAAGCATATTCTTGGGTAGCTCCTCTCATAGTGGAGTGCAAGGCCTGGTTTGAAATAGACCTATTCGGCTAACTCAATGTTGTACCCAATTCAAACCCTTTGGGAATAAAACGTTTTGTTTCAGGAGTTTCCATATCATTTAAATGTAAATGCCACATTATCGTGCAAATCAATACACAAAGAATCTTAATCCCGGGAGATTTGAATTGGGTACAACATTGAGTTAGCCGAATAGGTCTATTGGTGGATAGAAATTTGGATCAGGCCTGAAATAGGATAGGAAAAATCACATAGTTTGGTCAAAATTTGGCAAGACAAGAAGCATATGAATATTTTTGGGGTTGTGCCCCACGCCCCCTCCCCCCCCACCTCTGAAAGTGGTTGATATAGTTACCGTACATATTTAATATCTGCTCACAGCTTTTAATGATGTATAATTGTTTAGTTCCCATAAAATTAATTATTTTGTGTTATAATAGGAGGGTTTCCAACCAGAAAAGACTTTTACCAGAAATGAATCAATGACCAGTGGGAGCAAGTTTATATGTCAATAACTAGTAAACTAAGATGCCCTATGCTTCAATAAACTAAGGTTGTATGCAAGCTGGGCCTCCAGAATAGAGTGGAGAACAGGGATGGTTAGGGTTGGCTAGGAAACTACCTTTCTGTTATGTTATCTACCCTAGCAAAGGTGACATACTGCAAAATCCAGTAGTTGTCATCAACAGCCACCTGCCCCAGTATGATGCAAAATATCTACTACTGTAGGCTCTAGTTCATTTATTAATATTATTTCATTTATCCACACCTTACTTACTGCATGTTAATAAATCTAGACCATTTTTCATCTTATATATGCCTAATTTTAAACTGTTATGTTTTATTGTGTTATAGAACTCTTAAAGTCACCAAAATGTTGAGAAAATTGGGCTATCTTATAAAGTGGTCAGATAAATAACCTAATTATGTATAGAGAAAAATTGTGCAACAGTTGCTTCTTTGTTAACTGTTCACTATAAATCCCTTGTTTATCTTTGTCGAAATGCCAAATGACTGCAGAGAGACCATGTCTCCTTCAGTCATCTTCACGCCTGCTAGGCCTCGTCAAGTTCTTATTTATTGGTTCCATTCTATCTAACGGTCAGGGGACAGGATATATTCACACATTGACCTGTGCCCTGCGACCTGTGCCCTGCGGATTAGACCCACTGCAATCTCCTTGTGTAAGGCCCGGTTCAGACGCAGCTCCACTCATGTGCCGATGAATTAAGAGCGGCGTCTCAATCAATTTGGTACGGAAGTTTTAGTTAGGTGCGGCAAAAGCGTTTGGTGCCGTAGAAGTTCGACAGAGTCCGTCGAACTTTTGTCGAACTTATCTTAGGCTCGACACATGGTACGCCGTCTGAATCAGATGTCGCGCCAGTGTCGCTCCAAAGTCGAACTTATTCAATTAGGTTTGGCATATGAAAAGTACGGCGTCTGAACCAGGCCTAAGAAGAGTTGATTTCGGATTTTTCCAGATTTGTCTGCAGCCCAGCCTTCAGAGCCTGTTGGCCGTTTTTCAAGGAAATTTCAGTCTTGCAAATGTTACCACCCACACCAAATCTGTGCCTAGTTGGACCTGTTATTGCGGCAAACTTGTTTCACTATTAATAGAACAGTTTCTACAGAAATTTAACTGACCTCTTTTATATGTACAAGCTCAAGTCGCTATTTTGAATTATTTTTTGACCATATTATATTAGTTTAATTTTTTCCGAACAGATAAATAAATATGACAGAAAAATTTTCATTGAAATTAAGCTTACAGCAAATTATTTCAGTAGCCTGTTGTAGGCTCTCAATAGTGGGGACATATTAAAACGACCAAAGCGAAAATAAGACGCGCGCGACTAGGGAAAGGGGACAGTGGCAGCCGGAGACACTGTCTCTCCCCAGCCCCCGCGCGTTTTTCGCATTTCTTTTTACTGAACGACTTTTCACCACTATCTCGGAGCCTGGAACAGGCTAATTATTTCAGTTACTTTAGAACTATGACAATAAATTAGTAATATATTACATGGCTAGTTTTGAACTAAAAATCATAATAATATATTACATCTTTCCAAGAGCATCCTGTTCAGTACGTTCCTATCGAAACTTAATTACCTCAAAATATTACTTTTCCGATAATATTTCCAGCTTGGGCTACCTGTGCCGAGCCCAGCCAGGTTTCCCTCATAATAAGTCTCTTTGAAATTAAGCCCATTGAAGAAGGGCCTTGAAAAGTATAAGCCTCGGTGCTTATGTTCAAAATTTTACGAATACTATGGGTGTAAAAAAACCCTCACAACATTTTCAAAAACAAATCAGATTTATAAATGCACAATAAACTGATGAACTGTTACAATCTCTTATAGTCTAGAGCTGTCCCCTTTCAATTCAGTAAAATCCATTACTTTTAAGATAGACTTGCTACTAGTCGACCTCTCATAAGTTCTTAAAAGTGAGTGAACCGAACCAGGAAAAAAATAAAAGAGGTTTTAGAAAGTCTACTTTAAAGGTACAGTTAGTTGAGAGTGGTTCAGGTTTAGTATCTAAAGGCACCCCACTTAGCAGCTTTTTGAATAAACTCCTTAACTGTTGTCTCATCCAGTTGATTAAAGGCTTCAGTTTGCGTGACTGCCGTCAGGTGATTGACACAGAACTTGAAGCAGAATTCTTCCAGATCCTAGAAAGAAAAGAAATAGAAATCGACTAACGCTTAACTGCTACGGAATCTGCGAGCAGGGGGGGGGGGGTAACTGTTCTGTCAAAAATGGTATATACCTGGGTAGGGAGTTGGACCTCGGGGCGGAGCCACCCCGTATACAATTGGATGAGTAACCCCCGGCCACCCCCACCCCCAAACCCGGGCTCAGCACAGCTTCAGTGCTAAAGGAGATTAACATGACCTTCGTGAAAGAGGATCCTTAGTTTATTTCTTACCACAGCCTCGTATTTGAGTGCCGCCGCAAGCAACATGGCGGCATTGTCCACGGTGATGCCTTGTTTTATAATTCGTTCGCAGAGGCGTTTGAGCTGTGTCTCACAGTAGGAATTAGCCAAGTCGAGTAGTCCTGCAAGAAAATGAAGTAGCTGAAAGAATCTTTAAAAAAACTTCCACTAGCTCAAAGCATATACAAAAGCGCGTTTTCATTATTTCTCTTCTCTCGGAGGTGTGAATGCACAAAACGTGCAGGCGTCTTTAATCGTTTTTGCCGTCGGCACTCTCTCTCTCGCCTCGGAGATGTTAGGAAAACACGAGATCGACAGATTGCACGGACCAAGGGAAGCTCAACCAGCAAAGCAAAGTCAATCTGGTCCTCAGGGCTTTTCCCTTAGAAAATGAGAGCGGTGGGAAAAGAGTCGCCCCTCCCCTCCCCCATGTTTTAAAGGAAACGCCCTGGGAACGTGGTTGGAGAAAAGAGCGTATCCAAGGCGAACGGGCGGGAAACACAGCTCATCTCATCACGTAACCCGAAATGAATTGGCCGCGCGGAATAATGAGGACTAGGGATTAGGCAAGCGGCGTGTAATAAGAGTCAGCTGTCGGCAGGGCAACTATCAGAAATTCTACTAAAGCCCGTGTGGCTTGTCCCTACAATGTTTAATGTTTTCTTCTGTCCTTAAGCTCAGCCCTTCTTCAAAGATAATTTCGTCACCTCATTGTCAAAATTTGGAAATAGAAAGCCTTCTCACCGGTTTTATGTAGTGTGCCTTTTTTCCCGCTGTGTGCTTGGCAAGCTCAGCCAGTGGTTGTTAATTTTTTCGCATGACAGAGACAACGAGTACTTTTTTTTACAGTTCCGATCATTTGCCTTTTGTTTTGTAGCTACGATTGTAGATGCTATTTTTTTTAAAACTACCGCTTCACAACAGTGAGCATGATTTGTAACTTTACATAAATGTTTAATACAACTTACCAATAGCGTCCTCTGGTTGAAGATGTACATGATCAGTATATAGATACTGCAGGAAAGCACGATACACGGGGTAACTGAACTGAGTGACTTCTATCACACTGAAAGAAGGTGAAAAGAAAAATATACAAAATGTAATTAGAACACACAAATATCTCTTTCAACAATAAGCCACTGACTGTGGAAAAGATATAATAAGAAAGGCTTTGATCGTCATTTCTCATCTCTCTTCGCAAAGAAGCTTAAATAAAAAGTTCCCCTGGGAAACGACAATGACTTTCCAGAATGTTGGTAGAGAGACATTCTGTTCCCTTAAGACATTTAGAAGTCTTTTCAGCCTGCAAATAGAAGCCCTTAAACATTCATCTCTCTCCTTTCTTAGGTTTTGACTGGGAAAGGTCTCTCTTCTTTCCCCAGTCCCCTTCGCTCCATGGTAAGGGCCTAAGTGGTCCATATGATCCATATAGCTCTTTCCTACATTTAGCTCCAGTGAGCAAACGCAAAGAAATGAGGTTGAGACTCGACTGGATAATTTCATATAAGTCACTGTATTTTGTCAACACAAGCCTTGAGTTGATGCTGATATTTACGGGAATACAGAAAAGATTTCAGGCAGGATGAATTACGAGAAATCAAAGAGCTTTTGAATTTCTTAACCCTAAATAGTCAGACTTACTCCTTGTCGTCTTCACCCCAGTGTGACTGGAACATGCTACGGAAGTGTTCACACCTGTTGAAAATGAGTTGTTTTAATGATATGTAACAAATTACGCAACTTGAGAACATGTTGGCGCAGAATTAACCCCCACTCCCGTCCGCTTCCCCACCCTGTTCAGGATTCGACCACAGGCTAGCCATCCTTACCAATGCGCGATGTGCAGTTGTAAGGTCGCATCTTTAAGCCCCTTGTCTCTATTAAGCCCCGCCAACCCCCCTGTCACTGACTGAAAAAACATACTTCTCATGTATTCACCAGGCTCAAAATTAATCATCATATCTTTATCAAAAAGCACTTTGTTCGCACAAAGCAGCGCAATGCTTGCTTGCTTGCAAGTTCTCTGCGAAACGTCCGTCGTGTCGAAGGCATATGAAAATTAGAATGTTAAAAGAAAGTACACACAAGGGGAATTGTATTTAAATAACGCTTTACTATGGAATACATAAATCAATAAAGCTGGTAAGGTGCCACTACCTTATTTTCAACATGGCCTTGTGAACGTACACTGGTTTTCCTTCAATCATAAATGTTAAATCGCTTGTTTCCTGAAGAAAAAAAACGTGAAAGATGGAAAGACAAGGGGATTGTTTGACAGTGTTCGTCCACCTTTTGCATTCCAAACTTTTATCACCTTTCAACGACAATTTCAAATTACGGCACACTAAATAAGGATTGTGGCTTCTCTCCGTCACAGGAATCGTTTGGTGGCTCGGGCGTGAAGGCTTACTTTTCGGGTGGAGAGAAACTGCGACTAAAAAAAAACCGTCTGCGTTTCTACCAAATACACCGATCATGGAAAATTAAAATTTCACAACTTCATGAAAATTGGTCGACAAGGAAATATCAGGGAGGGGGGATGATCGTGAGTCAATTTCTTCGAGACAGCATTTCATTTTATTCGGTCAAAGATTCAATTTTCCATGATTTCATTGCTCTCATGGGTGAAATTCACTTAGTGACGCGTTAAATTTGATGACACTAGTTTGTATGCACAAACATTTAGGCAACTGCCGGCCTACTTTCTGCCTCTAATTGTTCAAAAGCTGAATAAGATTATCCGCCGGATAAATGTCCATCCACAGGATAGCACGATTGGTTTCTCAAATACGTATCCACTAAGTAAGAAGCAGAGTGGCCGAACGGTTAGAGCCGGCCCGAGTTCAAATCCTCGGCTACGCTTACAAAATAGCCAACTAGTTCACCTCCTACCAGGTGGGATTCTTCAACCTCGTTATGTTCCATTTAAATCATTTGTTTCATTATCCCAGAAAAGCCCCGTGAGGTGAGAGGGCAATGTCAATTATAGCCCGGATATTTCTACTGGGTAGCACTTTCTAGCTTTAGAACAACCGCGGTTACGGAATGCTAGACATTTTACACCGGTACCTGGTCATTAAATGCATCTTTAACACTTTGTTCCACTCTCTTTTCTTGCACCTGATCTAAAAACAAGTGAGAGGGGAGTGAGTGGCTGGGAAGGCCATAAATGCTTTAGAGAGCTTTAGATTTGAGAACGAGTACGAGTACAAAATTTAACTTAAAGTTATTGCGCGTAATCTCTCACCAAAAAAGTTAGCACGGTTATTTATACTGAAGGAGGTTAAGCCCTCTCCCGATAGCAAAATAAATGATAAAACTTCTAACATTTGATAACTTGTTTCCGCCACTACGACATTCTCGCTAAAACTCGTAGTAGAATGACGACGGCTATCACGTTTTCCCGCCAAAATGATGCTGGTTCACGCGTGAGCAATACTCAATATTGAGAAAATCTCGTACTCGTACTGTAGTCGTCCTCGTCTCAGAATCTAAAGCTGTCTAATTAGAGACAGGATATCCCTCTCAGTGGAATGGCCCAATAATAAACCAACTAAAGGAGTTAGGCCAAATCTCTGATTTAGAAGGATTTGCTGGACACCTTTTACACTTGTAGAATCGCATGGAATGCAGTGCTTAGAGAAACTTAGTAAATTCCAGGCTCCCTGAGATAGTAGGGACTAAAAAGGATCGAAAAAACGAGAAACTGAGACTTACATGAGGTGAATTGTATCATGTCACAGGTAAACAGTCGTATCACGTATTCTAGAGACTACTATCAACGACATACTCTAGAAAGTTGGTTTACTAACTTAGAACAAACGCCACTTATTAGCTGCGAGTGGCGTTGACTAAACTTGATGACTACATCCACCGGAAGTGACATTGCACGTCCTTAACAACGCGACATCGCGCGAAAGATAGGTCACTAGGCATTTAAAATTTGTATTGCTTAGTTTCTTTACACTTGTAGAGACGATTTAACTGAAAATTCTTGCAAAACCACTGCTCAGGAATGTAAAAAGTCACTTCCGGTTGACGTGTGTGGCTCAAAAACGCCTTTGCTTAATTAAGTTCCCAAGTGCTGAAATCAGGACAATTGATTGCCAAGCAGTCTGGTAACTAACCTACTATGAGAGGTCTGAACATTGACGGAGGAGAAGCAAAACAAGCGAATATGCTATCAACTTTGGTGAACTTTGTTTCCATTGGACTTGTTACGGCTTGACCACGACACTGGCCCCACATGTAAACCTACGATAATAACATCTGTTTACTTAAATAAGCAAAAGAAATCGTATATAGAAAAATATAATTAAAAAACTCTTTATTTAAGTGACAATCTATTTAACAAGAAGCTAGTACTAATTGAGGAGACCGCTATTTTTTTCCACGAACACTTTGCGTTTTTAAAATAACGGTGGATAATATACTATTTAACCTCATCAAATTCCTCTTTGTCAAAACAACGCTTTATAATACAGATTAAAGAAAAATGGGATACAACAGGTATCCACCCAGTCCCTTCCAATAGAAATGATCTTGCCATCATTCTCATTCATTCATTCATTCTCACGCAGACGATAGCACAAAGCGTTACTGGCTATAAGCCAGTAAGCTAAAAAAACAGACTGGCAATATACAAAGTTACCTGACATTTTCACCCTCTTATTTGATTTTTTCACTGAATACAGACCTTTCCAGTAGCAGTCATAGCGGCTGACAAATGACTGTAATGACAAGCAGCAATTTCAACAAATCTGGAAAATAAATGTACATTTGAGCTGAATATGCTATTTGCTGGTTCTGTTGAGGAAAGGAATGCACTCTACAACAGCTAACAAAATAGGAAAATGGAGGAATTAAAAGGATTTGCTTTTAACCCCAGCATAGTATACATTAGCCCGTGCACAAGCTGGCTCTGGTGCACTAATGTACTTCAGAAACAACAACATCAACATCACCAACAACAACAAATAACAAAAAAGAATCCGATCATATGCTTTCCGAATTCAACCTATTTCTGTACTTTGAACTGATTCGTTTATTGATCGTTGAGAGATACTCCTTAGTAGTTTAAAGACTTGTTTATTTGGAGAATCTGTTATTTTATTTGAGGGCTGCGCGCTGTTGTCACGGTGTTACGCATGTACGCACCTCTTCAGCAGTACTTTCACATGGTACTATTTATTTAGTATGTAATTTTAACTTTTAAGTCTGTGGACGAAATCCTATGGTGTTACCATTCAAATGAAACCTCTTCAGCAGTACTTTCACATGGTACATTTACTTAGTATGTAGTACTAACTTTCATGTCTATCAGTATGGTGTTACCATTGAAATGAAACTTTTCAGCTGCACTTTCACATGGTACTATTCATTTAGTATGTAGTTCTGACTTTGGTGTCCGTGGACGTCATCCTATGTTGTGACCATTCAAATGAAACCTCTTTGCGATATTTTCAACTGATGCTATAATTATTTAGTACATACTTCTAGGGCTTGAGTCTGTGGATTAGGGAAACTTTCAAGTGAGACCATTCTAATAAAACCAATTTATTGATTTTTTTTTTCATATGAGCAACGAGATTGGGTCTTCATAGAGTTAAAAAGCAAGTGCATGCCACCACAAGGAACAAAAATTTTCTTACCTCCCTTTGTCCAGACCAATTTTAGTTGGTGTCACCAGATGTGCCTTATTCCCAGTCCCTAACTGTCCATATGAGTTTGCACCCCAAGCATAGAGACATCCTGCGTCTGATAACGCTAGGGAATGTGCATAGCCACAAACAATCTACAGACGTAAATGGGAAAAAGAGTGACCTTTATACCGTAAAGTTCCGAAAGTTAAGCGCCATAAAATATTATTGGGTTAGCAAATCCCGAAAGTAGCGATTCCCCCGAAAATAACGACCCTCCGAAAGTAGAGACCTCAAAACAAATTTCCCTTTTTGCAAAAATAACGGGTATGATAGATACCCTGAACACTGATCCGAGGTTTAGTAATAATGATTGTTTTGACATTCTTATTCAAAACTCTTTTAAGTACAGGATATATATTACCTTTTTTCAAAAAGTATTCCTTTCACATTTTTTGCCATTTTATTTTTTGAAATGCCTACGTGGAGTACACGTTTTGGCCATCCAAAAGTAACAACCCCTCGAGAGTAGCGATAGCAGAACGGTGCTAAATCCGAAAGCAACGAGGGTCGTTACTATTGGAACTTAACGATAAAAAATAGTCGAATTGAGACTCAGTAAGTTGGCGGTGCCGAAAACGTTACTGAAACCCCATTTACACGCGCTAAAAAAATCGGCACGGCACGCCAAATTTTTGAAACCGTGCACTGCTAAAATTCCGTGCCGTGAGGGTTAAAAGCTGCACATTTGCATAGCCAGAGTTTACATTACACCGTGGTCATGAGTTTTAAAATCCCCACGGCTCTGAGGGAGGGCCTCCTTCAGAGCCGTGCCCATAACGAGGCACTGTGCCAAAAATTTGGCGTGCCGTGTCGATTTTTTTAGCGCGTGTAAATGGGGTTTTAAAAACCGTGAATTCGCGCGGTTCAAACTTCATCACTCGTGTTCCGTCTCTTTCATGGTGTCACATTTTGGTGGGTTTCTCTGGAGATAAATTCTAAAGGACTTTAGGTGTAGAAAAAGAAAGAGAAAGTCGTTGTCTTGTGTTCACGTCCTCGGTAAACCGTGAAATTAGACGTTGCACGTCACGGTCGGTAAAGAAATGTATAAAAAAGCGTGATGCACCTGCAAATTTGTTTTTAGCTAATCTTAACGTTGCTTTAAAAAAAAAAGTTATGGGGGTGGGGAAGTTTCTAGCCGCACGAATTTTTTTCCGTTAAGATTTCCCTTTTATGAATTTTTTAGACAAGTGCATGAAAATTTTTTAGGGTTACTTGGCGTGTATGAATGTTTTTCATTTCATTTTCCCTTACACGAATATTTTTTAGGATGTTCTTACTTGTGTGGTGATTGTTCCAACAAGTCCAATGACTTTACAAGGTGTCAGCTGATTTGCATTGTTCCCAACTCCTAACTGTCCATTTCCATTGTAGCCCCACGCAAAAAGCTGAAAAACAAAAACCACTATCGTTGCTAATCTTAGCAAGTTAAGAATTTGTCCAGGTCGAAGGCAGCCTCTGAAAACACCCAACATTTCACGATGCCTCTCGTTTTCTTGCGAATTGATGTCTGAGGAATGAGCGCAGAAAATCCATACTGATGACGTGTCACTAACCCAATCTGCGCAGTGACGGGTGGGGTAGCATTAACATTAGTTGCCTCATACTACAAAGTTCCCACGGTCCAAAGGACCACTTTAATATCAATAGATTGCATTACCATCGCCATACCTAAAACCGAACAAGAACATGAAATTTAAGCCGAGAGTTAGATATAACCGCACCATTTCCAAAAAATAGTTACATGTACATGGTTGCCGGCCAATTTTCTTTCACTTTAGGTTTTCAGACTTACCAGACCTCCTTTTCCCACCTTATTTAATAAAAGTTACAATAATGCTTTTGCATTAGGAGTTGTTGTAACCCTGTAAAAGTTAAATTCATAGCCCTTTTACTTCAACTTGTGATCCACAAAAACGTACAAATACACAATTACTCATTCACACTCATACATACAGCTCAACCTCCCATACGCGACTACACACAATGCGAAGATTTAGTGTCTGCTAACAGGAGGTGGTCGCTTACAAGAATCAACCCACAGGTGGTCTCTTCCGACAAAAGGTTCCGACGCATCTACTTTTTGTCATGGAAAGTTCGTCATATACTCTGAGTGACGCAAAACATACTACAGTGAACAAAAAGATCACACCATACGTCAATTGGTCTCTTACGAAAGGTTAAAAGCAATGGAAATTTTATAAAACCATCGCGATCAGTCCAAAATGTAGACTCAAGCAACCTCTTACTGTCTTCAAAGTTGCTACGGTAAGACGCGTGAGCAGCGAAGCCGTGAACCATGAGAAACGAGGGCATAAGCTGGGAGAGGAAGAACTTTTATTTTCTTCAAAGTCACTGGGGTAAAGCGTTTTCAGAGCCAACATACTCATTTTGTCTGAGAACCCGACGGATCTTAATAGAAAAGGCGGACTACTTGCAGTTTATCCAAAATGTAGTTGCAGTCGCTTATCATGGGGCTTTGACTGGAAAAATTTAGGTGTTTTGAACAGGTGCTCACTTATAGTAGGTGGTCAGATGTGGAGGTTCAACTGTATTTTTGTTTGCAGTTCTTACCTCCCCTGCATCTGACAAAGCCATGGACGATGTCTGACCGCAAGCAATCATGCTTATCTTTTTGCTTCCTTTAGAAAAATAATAAAAAAAGATTTAATGAGCAGATATCTTAATGAAATGCTCAAAGGAAAACATTAGCGTGGCAGTTTAGCATTAAAATCAAATGATCCAGAGAAGAAGAAAACTTAAAAACTGGTTATCTTCAAGAGAACGACACTTAAAACTACCCGTACATTTGTATTTGTTTGTCACATGTTTGTATAATTATCAAGAACAGTGTTAATTTTTGTTAAAATAAGACGGTTTAATTCTCAATCCTACCTTAACTAAAGAAACTAAATAAACTGATACATGGATAAAAACCTTTTCTCATGAATGTGGCATCTTTATTGACCTACAAAAGGCTTGACTATTGATGATCGCAACATATACATGTAGTGCAAATTGTTCTTGTTAATTGTACATACTTGATCTTGAGAATAAACATGTAAACTTGTAAACAATATACTTTCTTTTATCACACCTATTATTGCTGAGTTGATTCTTCTGGGTACAGTCTGATTGTTTGTAGTTCCAAGACCAATTTGTCCACAGTTGTTGTAACCCCAAGCATAAACCTATGAAAAACATGAGGGGTCAAAAATTCCTCAATAGTGTGCGAATCAGCCAGAATATTCAAGACAGTCAGAATCTCTGGAGATCTTAAATCTAGAGACTCTATCTCTTGCACTACCCCCACCCCCCTGAATGAAGAGACAGTCTCTATCTCTTGCACTGCAACCTCCCCCCACCCCCCACCCCCCGAATTTCAACAAAACTCACCACAGCCTTCCCAACAAATCGACCCAGCCCCCAAATTATGACGGTCATGGAATGGCTTAGGACATTATATGAAGTCTTACGTGAGGTGCATACAATCAGAATTTGCATTCATCATTGTAATGACGAAAATAGTCTTTGTCAGTGACTAAATATGTGCAAAAATGGCCTAGAAAATGTACTATTTTGGAAAAAATGGGCTAAATTTCAAACTAAAGTACAGAAATAAAAACATGAGGGGTCAAAAATTCCTCAATAGTGTGCGAATCAGCCAGAATATTCAAGACAGTCAGAATCTCTGGAGATCTTAAATCTAGAGACTCTATCTCTTGCCCTACCCCCGCCCCCCTGAATGAAGAGACAGTCTCTATCTCTTGCACTGCAACCTCCCCCCCCCCCCCCCCCGAATTTCAACAAACCTCACCACAGCCTTCCCAACAAATCGACCCAGCCCCCAAATTATGACGGTCATGGAATGGCTTAGGATATTATATGAAGTCTTACGTGAGGTGCATACAATCAGAATTTGCATTCATCATTGTAATGATGAAAATAGTCTTTGTCAGTGACTAAATATGTGCAAAAATGGCCTAGAAAATGTACTATTTTGGAAAAAATGGGCTAAATTTCAAACTAAAGTACAGAAATACTCAAAAGTCAGGAGAAACGGGAGATCGGTGCTATATCTGGGAAAGTTGGCATAACTGAGTAAGCTCCAGAAAGGTCCTTAAAAAATGCACTTTTCTATTTGAGTACCAACATATTTTGCACAAAAGTACTAATATATTGGGGACACTATTTTTAGGTCTCCAAGGGTCTGGAGATGGTACTACCACTTTATGTGGTCATCTGTGTCACGCGAAGGTCTAGCCGCTTGCGGTGCAAAGACAGTACCTTTATTTCTCAGTTACATTTAGACCCTGAGTATTGTTCTGGCCCCTGGGAATTGAACCCACAACCTACTGTTCTGCAGTCAAGCACTCTACTGAATTACTGACTGAGCTAATCCTGGCGCAGTCAGCTAATCCTGCCATGGTTATGTAATCCTGCCGCAGTGAAATATTTTAAGATTACCATAAAAAATGAAATTACCTCGCCATCACCTGTCAGGGATAATGAGTGATGACTGCCACAAGCCACTTGAACAACCTGCTTCAATTGTAATGCTGATGTTAGAGGTGAGGGTATTAACCCTTGATTTGAATTCCCATTTCCAAGCTGACTGTAGCCATTATGACCCCATGTGTACACTTCACCTGATCCTTTTAAACATAAAAAAAAGTATTTTGGGTGTTTTACATTTGTCGGAACTTACTGGCCACACAGCTGCTTTGAACCAACATACATTTATCTCTCATTGTTTTGGGAGGGGAAACACTGCATGACTCTGACCTGAGTGGCTGCAAAGGAGATCAGGTCACACTACACTCCTCTGTGATATGACAAAGGCATAAAGCTATCATATTATTTGACATATTTCAGCGAGAAGTGGCAGGCTAAATAATGGCTGCACAGCAGGTAACTGGTTGCATCCAGATATTGAGTTACACGTTCACCTAGCTTTTGATCTCTAACTGATGAGAGCAAAATAAGGGTACACTGTAGGTCTGTACAGACTCATGCCTATTCTTGGTTTGCAACCACGTGACAAGGCAGCCACATTGGGGGTCAAAACAACATAATTTTTTCTCAAAGAATTTACATGAAAATAGAGTTAAGTTCCCAGAGGAGAGGGAAGCTTTTGTTCTTGACTACCAACATGGCTGTTGTGACATCACGTGCAAACCAGCAATATGATGCATACATTATCTCAAGCTTTTGTCACTGACACTTTTGAGGGCCACTAGTTCATCACTGTTTACTGTCACGTGTTACCCTCATTAAAAGTTGCTACCTAACTACCTACACAAATAGTTGAAGCACGTATGGTTGCATAATAAATGTATAAGGATGGGTAGAAGACTTGCTACTTTTCCTTTATAGATGGTCAGGAAAAGCAATCTGGGTCATACGTACCTGAAACTGCAAGCACATGAGGACCACTGCCGCAAGCCAAGGACACTATATTTTTCTTACACAATGCCTCCACCTTCCTTGGGTGAAGGCAACTTTGGGCATCACCGACACCTAGACAACTGCTCCCGTTTGATCCTAAAGCATAAACATCATCATCTCTTGTAACAACGATGGCTTCGTTCCCTGCATTTCCAAACACGTACGCTATTTTAAGAGAAGTTAAAAATTCTTCGTCCAGAAGGCTGAATATTGGCCATCTGCTAAGCTCTTGCATTCTGATGTGGTTCGGGAAATTTGAAATAGTCACTGAAGCGCCCACATTATCTACGACCAAACCTATACCCTTGATCCAAGATCAGCAGAAGACTACCTACAATCAAACCATCTGTTTCACCGTTTTTCTCTGGTCAACTTAAGGCTCAGTGTCCAAGCCTTGTTTTCATCGGCAGCCTCTCGGCAGCCAGGCCTTTTGTTGCGCTTGCGCAATTGAATATATGACGTCAGTTCTAAATGCATTATGGGATATATTAATGGCTCCAGAGTTTGTTTCGCGGTTTTCACTTGGCAAAATGGAGGCTATTCTTGTAGCTGTTTGCGATTGATAAGCGGCGGTGATGCGCTGATGGTTCAGAGTTTCGATGCATGGGAATACGCTTTACTAAGTTAACCAGCCTCTTCGACGTTTTGGCCGATTTGCTGCAGTAATCAAAGGATTTGGTTGGTTGGGAGTTGCTTGAAGAATTCGTCGACATGTCGAGCCTGCGAACAGGGAAGAAAGACACAAAAATGAGAATTCGGGCTTTTCCGGTAAGAATGAATATCTAAAGCAGCCCAAAGCGTTTCTTTATTAGTTTAAATGTTAAAGTAGTTAAAATTTATCGTCTAATCGTTTTGGAGGATCACAGAGTGGAAAAATGCAATTGATTAGGGCCATGGCGAGGAAGTCAAATTTGGCGCGATTTGCACCCAGATTTGTCTATTTACGATGAGGAAGTTCCATTTATCCAAAAACGCTTGTTTTTTATTTTTAAGGGAAAATTTTGTTCAATTTTAATGCGAGATTTCAAAAACCTTAACGGAAGTTACGTTGTCCAAACATGTAATGATCAGAATATTGATATGGTAATGCTATAAGTTTGTAATTTAACATTCTTTGTTTCCTTGCATGATGTAAACATGTTAGGGACGAACGTGGGCAAGAGTTTGAGTATGATCATGCATCTTGTGGCACAAGATGCATGCATACTTACTTCAAGTCAAAATGTTAATCAGCCGAAGTCTAGTAATAATAATGATAATGATACATGTGGCTTTTGTACAGTTTGATTTCTAAAGTACTTAACTTGCTAAGCCGAGAATTCTGCCTCCAGTGGCTATTTTGCTCAGTTGGCAATTTGTCTGTAACATTACTCTTGCCATAAATTGCCAAGCAAGTTACTGGGAAAAATACAGAGGCAAAAATCATGGGAGTTTTGTCAAAACACCCAAAATGTTCTTGGAGACGTACTGGGTAACTTATGAAACCCTTAAAATTTTGAGGAACAGGTACCTGGTTTCCATTTAAACTGGACAATGCAATCTATGTGAGTGCAAATTAGGTGAATATGACAACAAAACAAGCAAAGCACACACACAAATAAATTTGAATACACACGC